CATACAAAGCTTGCTTACACTTTGTTCTTAAAAGGACCTTAACATCATGAGCAGATGGGTCAGTAGGACTGCTGACTGTGAAACAACAGGCGAAGTCTAACAGATCAAGCTGAGGAAATACTGACAGTGAATTCAATTTATACCAGTGTTACCTCTAATCATTGGCTTCAAAGCCTTGTCTGGGTCATGTTCACTTGGGCAGCTCAACCCATGCCCTTCGAAGCCTCTAACATTCTCTTCTGTATTATCACTGTTATTTACAGTTATTTTCAGTAATGAAACATCCCTGAGTGGCATAGAGTGCAACGTTCGCATCAAGCAGTGATTGTCATTTACGAAGCGTGAAACTTAAAGAGTAAAGATGAGGACGGGGCCTCCAGTATGCTGTTCCTAATGGATGTCAGAGACAGGATTTAGTTTCTAGAGTGTAGGCAGAAGGTGCTGGGACAAGCTGGTAGGTGTAAATAGACTATGATTTTACGGCCAGGGAAAAGCAAGCTGCTCTGTCTCAGAATTCCGTTTCACACATCCTTAGACATAATGAATTGGACAAAAAAAAATATTTTGTGTTTCAGTTTGATCTTATGTGCTATATTCCTGGGATGTCCAAAAGACAATGACTGAAAATAGGAATCACCTTCCAGGCTGGACCTTAGCTCTTCTGGAAACAGCAGAACCAATGCAGAGTCAGGAGGGAGGAGGAGGATTGGGGGAGCCTGAACATCTTCCAAATGATGTTTGAAACTCAGCTTCAGAGGGGTCAAAAAGTCAACAGGGAAAGGAGCCATCAGCTGCACATCTCTAGCTAAGCTGCCGGACCAGTTTGTGAGACTGCTGCAATCTTAAAGAAGCTCGTACAGCCTGGTAGAGGGAGGCCAAGAGGCTCACACACGGGAGCAGCTTTGCAGCCTTTTTGTGTAGAAGTTGTTACATCAGAAACCCTGCAAACTGTCCCAAAGGGAAACACACCCCTACGCAATCTGGCACGGTGAAACCGAACAAAGAAAATCACATAACAAAGCTCACCTTCATGGGCAGCTCTGGTAGCTGCTCCACCTCAGCACCATAACCTGGAACAGGTACTGAAACAGCACAGGTGTCCAAGGTGCAGCAGGAGAATAAAGTGACCCCTGTGAAACTGGGCTGAAATGGACAACATGGAGCATGAAGTCAAGGCATTCAGGAGAGCCTTCTGCTCTTCTGCTCAACAGAGCTCAAGAGGGACCTCTTAATGCCAAGGGCCCCCAGTCTTGCTATCCGTTGAGAAATGCCCCAATTTTTATTGACTTTACTTAGAGCTAAGTGTCTGACAACTTGCAGAATCAGTTCATTAAAGCTGTTCATTCACAACCCAATCAAAAACTGTATGTTGCTTTCAGAAACAGGTTTTCTCAACTGAGGTGTCTTCTACTACCATGTTTCTGTTCTAGCAATTTCCATTAGAAGGAAATATGAATCTTAAAATTAATTCTTTATAAAAAGAGCAGGCAAGAGAGATATTTACAGCAAAATTAAGTCTTTGTGGTAGTATAATGAACACTGTACATCCGCTTCCTCAATGCCAAGGGTAATTTAGCATAATATGACTGAATTACTGGAGAGCAATGCTAGAAGTAGTAGATTCAATACATGCTTTAAATATATGCTTTAAATATGCTTTTGTTACAGGTCCCAGGTTAATCAATATTAAAAATGTGTCTCGTTTGAAAAGTTTGTCACTAAAAAAATCAACAAACATATCCAGTTACTACAGAAAAAAGATGTGACAAATTTTAGTTTTAGACACTTATTTGAAAAGTTTCAGGTTTTACCGTGAAATATGCAAGGCCAAAAAAAAAACTAAAATGAAGAACTAATATTGTAAATTGTTGAGTTATTTACTAAAATTCGTGTTATTTTATCCTTAAAAGTCCATGGACAACTTGAATACAACTTGAAGTCCAATATCAAGAAATTGAAATTTTGAGGGTAAGGGACTGTGTCAGCAACACCAATCACAAAAATCCAGCCTGTGGCATATGATCATCATGTGTTGTTCTACACTCAGTCAATGAAGGACAAAAGAGGTACTATACCTATGTGGCCAAGTGACAGAAAATTAAACAAAACCTAACTGTAGTTGCCACAGCACAGTTCCATAAACAGTGTTTGAAAATGACTTTTCATTTTCCAAGTAAACCACAACACTATTTGCTCAAATCCTGTATTAATAGTAACAAAAATTTGTTTGGCAATACATGAAAATCTTGGTAGAGGTTATTGCCTACCAACAACAATGAAGATCTTGTATGGCAGAGTATTAGAAGTTTTAGGACAAAAGCCAAGAATCCATTTTTATTTCTAAACAGGATATTTCTACCTTTGTGGTCTCTCACAAGTTACTTAACCTTTTTTCTTCCATTGCCACATCTTTAAAATGTGATCATAATCACTACTGATTGGAAAGATCATGACATTGTAGTGATATAAGAATAGTGCTTTAAAGATTAAAGGCCCTGCAGATAATGATTAGTGTCATTTTCACTGGTGACTTCCGTTTAGTTATCTTGCCTGAGAAGTAATTCAAAAATCCCAAGAAGTGATTAGCTTATTAGAGAAGAAAACAACATTTTCAAGATGTAACACACAATTGTGAAGGACTATTTATAAACATGACAAACCTCTTTATTAAGCAGCACTACGAACAATAGTATTTATCACTTATTATATATTTCTATGGGTTTGCTAAATATATACTTTTGATATACTGTAAATGAATTTATAAAATATTTCAAACAACATGTGTTCTTGTGTTGGGAAATCAAGAAAAACATGAATCCCCTGCAATTAAAATTGAGCACTTCTAGAGTTCAATATGACTCAATTTTTCCCCTGATAAATCTACAGAAATATTATGTAGACATTAAGTTTTGATAGACACATACTTGAAATTTGGGATCCCTTTCTTGGATTTCCCATACAAAATGGGCTGCAAACAGGTAAATCACCATATAAAGGAATGTCAGTCTTCCAGTTAGACTGGTATAAAGAAGCATCAAGAGAAGTGTTTTATTATGTTAATTGAAGACATTTTAAGGTAGTCACTAGAGAAATGTGCTCTGAATTTGGAGTAAAAAAGGCAACTTTAGTAACTGCTGTTCTATAGCATTAAGCAATTTTGAAGATTATGTCATTTGCCATGAAATACAACTAAATTTGCTGGACAGATTTTTTTTTTTCTAAGTTGTAATGGACCTGCACAGAAACATTTATTAGCTGAGAGTTTGTAGCTACTCTTGTACCTGTTCTAGCATTGCTAAAGCAGAACAAACAAATTGTGATATTCTCTAGACTTGATTCTGCCACAAAATACATATACAAACTTGCAAACTGACTGATGGAAGGCAAGGGAGAACTCCGCAAAGTACTTGAAATAGCCTGTGAATTATCTGCTCATGCAGAAAAGAGAAGCCTGAGACCAGAGTCACACAAGGCATTAAGTTATCACTACAACAGACTGATTTTCTTCACCCACCCCTGGGCCCATCTGTGTCCCTGTGGGCTCCCTGTGACACTGCCCCTCCATGAGCCTGGCAAACAGGCAGGTCCTTTATGCTTCCCCTTGCCTTGCCTCAGATTGCACTAGCTTCTGCGTGGTTTGAAATAAAGAAACATATCTACTTGTGATCCTGCCTTCACTTCCTTTCTTCTCTACTGCACAATGAGTAAAAGGGTGTTAGAGAGATGCAGCAGAAACTGAATCCCTCTTTCAAAGCTAAACCGTCTGTGTTTTGTACTACTGGTAGAATGCAGATACATTAATAATGACTGCTGATTAAACTTAATTAATCCACAAGATTAATTCCATGGCAGCCTTCCACTCCCCTCTGTGTTTGCCTTTGGTTTTGCAAGCAAATGCACATACAGTCAATTCAGAGACAGACAAATAGAAAGCTCCAATCCTTTGCTCCACTCCTGAAATGCATCTAAAATAAATCCTATATGTGCATGTATATATACAGTTATATACATACAGATTTATACATACATATCTGCATGTGTTTAAAACATACACAGATGTATGAGTGTAATGGAAACCATCAGTCCCATCTAGATGATGACTGTCAGAAACAGTGACAATTACACTGTTGTCTGTAGTAACCACGGACTTCACTCACTTCTTACTTCCTCCTTCCCTCCTTTCCTTCCTCTTCAGAGACACATTTTAGGCTTGCCATGGTTTTCACTGAGTTTACTACCTATCTTTCTAATGAGTTCAACAAAAACAAACCAAAACTTGAAGCTACTTTTCAAAGCAGTATATATAAAACAAAATCATGTATGAAATCACAAAAATGTACATATGGGATTGTCTACATTTTTACTCAATGTTTCAGATACTTTACTGAGATCAGGTCCTACTATGTTCACTTTTATATATGTTCCATCCCTGTAACAGTGAGAAAATTAAAAAAAAAAAAAAATCCTATTCCTCTTTTCACTAAAACCATCCAGACAAGGCTTTTGTACCATTGATACATTCCTGATGTTTGATTTACACACAGCACACATGCACTACATTACACAAATCTCAGAAGTGATCCTGTCATTACACATTGGCAGCTGACAATTTAACTCTGGCAAAGCAAATCTTGATTGCCCAAAGTAAATCTAATACATTATTTGGAGAAATGTATGAAATACATGACGGCTGGGTTGAGCATCCTTTAAATGTAGGCATGTTATTTTAAGTTACAGCATGTATGCAGATAATGCATACATACGTATATACATACATACACGTATATATGCATATATATGTGAGTGTGTGTGTCTTCCATATATGCACCATAATCTCCAGGACAGCTACAAATTTCCACATGCATTAAACTATCTAAAAACATAGAAGTAGGCAGTCTAATAAGTGGAATTTTCTTAAATTATATTTTAACAATAAACAGCAAGAGTAATACTGCAAAGTACTGCTCTATTATCATGTTTATCCACAATAAAGTTCTAGGAACAGTTGTCTCCCAAAACATCCCCCAATAAAAGTAAATTAAAAAAGAAAGGTAACACCCAGTGTCCTATATTTGTATATTCATTGTCAGTTCAAAAATTAAAAAAAAAAAGAAAAAAGAAAAGTAAACAAAAGAGAAAAAAGACATCCCCACTCAGAGTTGCATATTTACATTCTTCAAACTGTAGCGGTGAAAAATAATTCTATTAAGTGCAGGACATTCCTAGTGTTGCAGTAGTGACATTTTTAATAATTTCTTCATGAAAACATTTCTCTTTGTCTTACTAGTGATGCATTCCATGACTACGTGAAAATTCTATTATCCCCTTCACTTGCAGCCAGTGGTTGAGTCTGGATTGAAAAGCTCCTTGTATAATGGAGGAAACAGTGTGTTCACTATGTCTGGATGAGATTGCTTAAATACCTGCAGTTTCTCTCCGTGCAAGTTGCAAAGTGCAGTAATCGTTGGTATCTTGGCTATTAACTGTAAGACATGAAACAAAAAAAAGGAAGAAGGTGGAAGCATATTTTGTATAAATTACACTTTCCAAAACAAACTATGTTAGCTTTTTGCTGAGTAACTGAAAGCGATACTCTAAGCTCCATCAAAACCCACCCACAGGACTAGACATTGTTCTTACTGTAAGAGCCTAGAAACAGCTGCCCCCAAAGTTTTAGCCAAGGGCATCTAACAAGGAACAGTCTCAACGAGAACATTTTTAAGAGAGTCACATTCTTTAACGGGTATGAATTAAAATTATTGGTATACTGAACAAAAAATGGAGTAAGAGGCAACAGGGACAAGAGTCAGACAAGCCTCTACACATGGCAGAAACACAGTGCATTTCTTTTAGCTTACATTAATGTGGCAATACAGAAATGGCTGCAGAAAGAGAGGAGTCATGCTTGAGGACTGCTTGGTATTTTGTTTAAAGAACTTACCTTTGTCAATGTCTCCTCGTCGAGGTGGTTCTTCTGAATAACATGTTGAAGTGCAAAGTAAATCTTTTCCTGAAGCTTCTGGACCTTCCTTGGCTCTATTAACCAGGCTCGATCTGAGAAAAGGGAAAAGCAAAAGTTAAAGAAAGTTAAACATGTGCATTCTCATGCTGCACACTGGGTACTGTGCAGGCAAATATCCACAGGAATTGTAAATCTCACAAGGGAGGACTGCATCGTAATTAAAGACATGGTTTCAGAGGTAAAATGTCTTAACCCATTAAAGGATCACCTGAGCACTTAATTAACACATACAAAACATACAGGAACCTAGTGTTGGCTCTGCATCTACTTGTTCAAAACAGGATGCTAGGCATAAAGATAGGAACAGAAATGAAACATGGCTCAACATTTTATTATTCTCTGTTGGTACAGTCAGTGTTCTAATTTCATACTGGCTAGGTGATAAACATGTCATGTTATCTCAATGTCTTGATACATAAATAATAAACTTGCTGATCAAAACAGTTCTTTGAAAATAAGATAATTATTCAAACATTAATATATCTCATTAATTACTAGGCTAATATTTTGAGAAAAAATATATTCTAAATAAAAATAAAAGGCTTTCTTCAATATAATTTTTCAATAATTCAAAAGAATTGTAAAGTGCAAGTTCCTCATTATTTAAAAATGTTCTCTTCTTAAACAACCCAAAATACAAGATAATCTGGAAGAATAACAGCAACACAGTTGTTTTAAAACCCATATGGTTCTACTGGACTCAAATCCCACTCGCAGGAGACTGTCCTTACGATCTGTATTTTCACAAGTCATAGGTTCTGGAGAAAACACACAGAAAGAGAAGCAGCAGACCCCAAGACAATCCAAACCCATTCATGCAGTGTGCTTGCAGCATCACAGAACCTTCTGTTTTCCTACGATGCAAAGTATTTTATTCTCCCTCAATCCAGACCAATTCTTGGCATAGATTTTAGCTTTCATATGGGAAATAGGAAAACTTCTTTTATCACAGGCATGAATCTTCATGTACACATTGAAAAATTCAGGAAACACCCCTTTCACTTTTCTTTCACACACTACCCATCATTAAATAAGTCACACAAATGAATTTAGTTAACCACTTCAATGAACACACATGCCACACAGGCTGGAACTGAGCAACATCTCATCCTAGGAGTAGAACAATTCTGCCATTTGTCTGACTGTCCCTGGGGAGGGATATATGGAAAAGAGTTGGTTGTCAAGTACTGTGAAAAGGAAAAAACCAAACCTCAACTACTTAACAGATGATCAGGAAAATAAAATAGTATTTTGTAAACATTAGAGAACTGTGTTCCCTGAAAGTAAGCCAACGGATCCTGTGCTATCAGTGGCCATAGAAATAGAATTAGCTGAGAACACATGCACTTTCTACACAATAAGCACACAATTATGATTAGACTTAACAGGTTAGGTGCCAAACTTTATGCTATTGCAAAACCTGGTCTTTAAATAGTGTTAAATTAATGCTTATTGTGGCAGACTGGAGCTAGAGATATTTACCATAGAGACCAATCCCTAAAGGTTTACCTTTCTTCTCAAGAATAAGGTTAAAAATAGACAGAGGTGGTTGAAAGACAGGTTCATCACTCACCTGTCATGAAGCATGCTGTATATTACACAAGAGTTCTTGAATTCATGACAAGAGCTAGTTAAACCTTTTTAATGGATGCTAAGTTTATCTCCCAAATGTGGTTCCTGCCACCTGAACACCATCTGTAAATTTGCCTGGAATTTCAGAGGTAACTCTAGCTATATTCACAGAAGTGCAGGAAAAAGTCAGTAGATCAGTGACCACCTTTAAAGGACACAAGAAGCAGCGATTTAATAGTGTACTTTTTCTCCTGGGTTTTGAACTTGTCCATCTTCAAAGAGTATGCTGTCCACTAGACTAGAGAACAGTGTAGGAAAGAAGATGAGAGACAGCTCAGAAACAGACAAGATCTGCTTTTGCCAAAAGGAAGATGGGAAGAAGGAAAATGCCAAGTCAAAGTCTCAGGAGAGGGACTGGCACAAGGGAGCAGCCATGTTCCTGCCTTACCACATGCCTCTTTTGTATGTTTAAAGGTGGAAATGCCTCTGCAGCACTTACTGGATTTGTACAACATTTCAGCTTTTGAAATCACAAATCAAGCTAGAGAATCACCTTCAAGCAGTGTGGTTGTGTTCATCATGAAATGGAAAATCTGGATTTGTGCTCTAAATTAGATGGAAAATGGATGAGACAATGTCCTTTGCAAGATTTGCAAAACTACTGATGGATGTTACTCATGGATGCCCTTCTCAGGTGCCCTATTCCCAGTGGACTGCTCTGGTTTCTGTAAGGGGCCTAAACACAGAGATGAGGCTGCAAGAACTTCAGAAAAGAAACCTGAATAAGAGTACTTCCTATGCAGAATCTTTGTACGCTTGTATTAGTTAATGAAAGGACTGGTGCAGGAACTTCTGTGAAGCAGTGCTTTATTTTTAAATTTTTAAATTTGTTCCCATGATGAAACTCTTTATTGTGAAGGAACCAGAACATCAAGTGTGGAAGGAAATATTTCTTTCTCTATTGCTTATGGAAGAAAGATTGCTTTCACTCATGCACATGCTCCTGCAGCCCATAATTTCCTTCTTGCTGTGTCTTAGGACTAATTACACATGCTCACACACTACAGTCTGCATACACCAAACACTTTTGTTCCATTTAATTTTATTTTATTTTAGCTAAAGCAATAGGAGATGTTGCATGTATCCTCTGGCTTGCAAACTAAAGGGACATATGCAGAACTGCAGAAATTAATCAGAATTTTGGTTCCACCTAATTTTTCCAACAGCTAGCACCCTCTGCCACCCACCCAGCTTTGATCTTTTCAGACTGAGAGAGTAATGATGGGCAGAGACCCATCGGGACATTGCTGTCCCAGAGAAAGTCAGGACATCTGGGGGGGTAGTGCAGAGGCAGCTCTCACACCTACACACAGTGGGGACACCTTTGAGGTGGAAATCGTCAATGTTTGGAGGGTTGTAGGTGCAATATTTTGGTGTAATCCTATGAAGAGTCACTGGCTCAACTATTTCACTTCTGAGCAGACAGTGGCAAGAACTGTTCAAATGGAAAAAAAAAGGAGTAAAGTCCTTTCAGTAGGTGTTGTTAATGATGAGAAAAATATGTTGACACCATCTGTGATAGTCTAATTCTGACTAAAATAATCTCAAACACAGATGTGCAAAAGCGCAAGGTGACCTAGAAGTCTTCAGCAGAAAAAGTTTGAAAAATGATTTTTTTTTTTTTGTAAGGCTATGTAAGAGGTTAGCCTTAGATGAAAATGTGTGTCTACATTCTCTGAAGCATATTTAAAAATTACATACTAAACTGTGAGCTTGTATACTAGATCCACCTTCTGAGTCAACTTAAATCACAAAACAGACCTCCTCTGTGGTCAGCCAGCCATCACTCCCTTAAATGCATACTTGCCTATGTAGAGTTATGATATATGAAAACATGAAAAAGAGCATGTTGCACTTCTAGTCACTACCTCTCACCTGGAACTAAGTTCAGACAGGACTGCTCACCAATGTTTACTGTTTGCATTCTCATTCCCAAGAAAAGAGCCCATCACAGTTATGGACTATATAACCTACTCAGGGTGGTGATTTTTTGCTCCCTGAAAAAGCTGAGAGAATATGCACCTCTTGAGTAACATGCTTCTTTTCACATGGCCTGGAGGAAGGCCAGCCTGCATTTCTTGTCTGTACAATCCTGCTCCATGTTTGTTACACTTAGGATCTACCTCCAGTATATGTAATTCCTGATGCTATATTTGCGTAATTCAGGCATTCTTCCACTGCCTAATATGTTGCTTAACATTATTTGATGCAGCTTAAACAGCTATTTAAGTATGTAAAAATAGAGGTGAATAAAGAGGGAAAAAAATCAGTGTTTGGAATGAAAAATTACCTGGTGATATCAGAACAGCAGACGAAAACAAGGCAATCTCCTCCTCAGTCAGCTGTAAGGAACATAAATTCTTTGCGAAGTCAAATGCTTCATTTACCAGATCGTCAGAACCTGCAGACCAAAGAGAACAAAACCAATGCTAGAAATCAGCTTTTCAACCTGCAGGGATTGTTTTGGTGTCAGAAAAAGTTGTTCCTGAATTTCTGTACTGTTAAAGCAAGTGCTTTTTATTAACTACTGACATTCCACCGAACCTGAAAATGGCACTAAAATGTACACTGAGGCAAAAAAAAAAAAAACAAACCAAGAATTAGGATGAAGGACAAAAATTGCACAGATATCTTAGAAGAGAGTACTCTTTTCCCTTGCTCTGAGGCAAAAATTGGTATTTCTAAACAGGTATCAAACCTAAGGAGGAGGAAAGACCAACCCTAAATAATATTCATATATAATTTCACTAACAGTACAAATGTTTATGAAAATTTGCAAAAGTATCATAAAGGTAAAAATAAATCAACCAATACATATTCATAGATGCTTTGAACTTGTAAACTAGTAGTATGTTTATGATACACACAAAGAAAAAAATATATATGATAAATATATACATTTGAAGGCAGTATCTCTCTTTGAGTTTGGTCCTGTACCAATTTCTGATAATATCAGTCCGATGGATGCACAAAACACAAACATTTCACTATTAACATTTCAGGTAGCACTAAATATCATGTTCAGAAACCAAGTAATTTTTTCAGTACATGAATTTAAATGAGTTTACTTAAAAGTTTTAGGCAGAACCATATTTTCAGCAAGTTGTAAAGGCTCATTATTTTAGTCTCCTCATTCCTGGGGTTAAAACTGCCTTCTGCAGGACACCATTAGTGGGAGGGATTTAATACATCAAGCGTAACTGAACAGTAAAGATAAACAGCTTGGCTCCTGCCATAAATGCATGACTCATCAAAACTTCAGAAGGCAAGAAATCTATTTGGAAAAACCTCCTTGCTGTTCTTTTTTATTAGAGAAAAACACCTATCATTGCTAGCAGCTAATGGAGTCACCTTTTTTTTTTCTTTTTCTGTTCCAACCTGGGCATTTGGAGACTTGGGGATTCAACATTTACTGGAGATTTCCACTGTGGATCACAACTCTTATAAAGACAAATTTCTTGCTATGTGGCTCATTGCAACTGGTTGAAAAAAAGAAGAGCAACATACCCAAAGCTTTAAACATTTGCATCCCTCCATACTTTCCTTCAAACAGAACAGTATTGTTAAGTGGGTTGAAGGCACGGCACATTCTCACCAAAACCACTTCCAAGCAGCCTAGCAGACAGAAAAAAGAGCAAAGGTACCAGGTATTATTGCCTAACATCAGAGCACAAAAATCTCAAAAAGATATTTATGAAGCCACCAGTCATTAAAAACACCAGAAGGGACAGACACCCTTTGAAGACATCTAGATTATACATCTATGAATGTGAGAAAAAATATTTCTGTCTGCTTTGAGTACAGGAAGGGGTCATTTCTGGTCCAGTCTAACCACCTTTTCTATAGGTTGACTTTTTCACCTTTTGCAGAATATTAGCAGCCTGAACTGAATCTGAAGTTAGATCTTGGACAAATAATTTCAGCTTGGAATACTTTATCCTGAAAAATAGGCATTTATTGAAACTCCTTTTTAATAGTTAAACTTTTTTTTTAAATAGCAAAAAGTAGATTCGTTTGAGGCCCCATAAAAAAATCCCAGCTTGTTTTGGTTGGAGAGGGAGAACACCACAAAGCATTTTTAGAAAGAATGTACAAGTTGAAGCGCTGCCAAGAGCACCCTTAAAATAGGTTTTACTTCTTGTTTGTTTTTCTTTTTCTTTTTTACCAGTTGTTGAATAGAGAGAGAAACACTTCTTTTTTTTCACTCCTTATTTCCTAACTGCAAAAATATGCAGTCGGGAAAGTGGAAGGAAGAATTTTAAGATCCCTTAACTAAATCCAGATCTGTAAGATGAACCCTGAATCTGAGGATACTTCTGCAGGCATGCTTTTGAGAGAAACATCCTCATTTTCTAACTCCTGGTCAGCATTAACAGCAGAAGAGAAAATAAAACTTGACATATTTTTATATGCTATAGCTTAACAATGTTTTCCAACAGTAGAAAACATTTTTTCTTCCTGAAGGTGCAGTTGTGTTGTTAGCTTTGCCAGTCAAATGAAATTTCCTGGGGGCCCACTGGTATTTGCAGAATTTTCAAAATTAGTATGAGACAAAAAAAAAAAAAGTTTTTATGCTATAACTCCCTTTTTCTAGGAGGTTGCCTCTGTGTTTCCTGTGTCTCTGTATCACTTCCCTTTGCAGCTGTTCCCATGATCAGAGCCCAGTCCTTTACCAAGACACAGTCATGGTGCTCATAACACCAAGCTTGTGGGTTTGATTCCCCTATGGGTCACTTAAGAGCTGGACTCAATGATCCTTGTTGCGTCCCTTCCACCTTAGAATAGTCTGCGTTTCTGATTTTGCCACTGAGGTTAGCTCAGATGATTGGAGTATGGTGTTAATAATGCCAGGGTTGTGAGCTTGATCTCCATTTTAATCTCCAAAATCTGGCATCAACGATCACTGTGGGTCCCTTCCAACTCAGAATAGCCTGTGATTTCTGTGTATGGAGTGCTGAATCACACAGGCTTAGTGAAGAGATCTCTCTTCAAACAGAAGCACTTAAGTTTTAACAAGCTGCCTCACACAGCATCCTAGCTTTCACACATGGACAGAGCAAGAAACTGATATGACAGGGTAAATGTAGTTAATTATCAGCCATGGTTCTTGTGGTTCACTTAGTCATGCCATTTTGTCCTTCTGGGCTTGGCAGTGCTACTGCACAGTCACGATAAATCTTGTCAGGATTCTTTCGGAGGACAGAAATTACTGAGTCCCTTGATATGAAAGGAAAGCCTTTTTCCCCTTGCCCTTATGCACACACATGCAAACATGGCATGCAGAGAGAGCATGGCTTGAGCACACTGCCGTAATCTGCTCTCATTTATTCTGAAACCAACCGGCACCAGCAGGAATTTTCCCTCCTGTGCATTGGCTGTAGAGTATTTCTGTAGTCTCATTAAAAAGATTAAAGATGACCACAGAGGCAGGCCCCAGTGAGCTTGCCTTCACTTCATTAATGACAAGTGGAGATTTTACAGGGTGGAAGATGACTGATTCAACCACCTCAATTTTCAGGCTCCTTCTACCACATGTCATGTTGGAGACTGCAGTTTTTGCAATGGTTGTGTGCGTGTGTGTGTGTGTGTGTGTGTGTGTACTTAATAACCACAACTGACTGTAAAAGGAAGGGGATCAGAAGGCAGTAACATCATCATGGTGGAAAAATACAGCAAGGTTAATGTACTTAATGCAACAGACAGAAATTAGGGCTCGTTCAAAATTAAAATGATTTGCAGGGAAAGACAGGAGAGCACATTTCTAGGGTGCTGGGTACAAAACTAGTCTCAAGCCTCTGGTGTTTACCCACCTGACTTAAGAAGGAGAATTTGGTCATTCTGGCAGAGCTCCATGAAGCCTGTTATGCGCTTTGCAAACTCCACCACATACTGGATAGCATGGGTGATCTGAATGGCACACTGCTGCCACAGAGCTTCTCTTGTCTTCCAGGAAAACACACATGGAAAAGCAAAGCGGTGAGCAAGCAGGTATATCAGTGCATTAAGTTCTTCAGGTGGCCTTGAAGACAGCAGCACTCCCCACACTCCACCCCATGCCCAGGCAGAGCTAGCAGCATCTCTTTTTCTCTAGGTACCCAACACTTCTCATTAGAAGGCTGTTTTCACAAGCCATGGCCCCACTCATCTGAACTCTGGCATTGCCCCTTCAAAGGAGCAGAATGTACTGCCCAGTGTTAAGATGTGGTTATGATGTTGGCTTTTGTGAAGGACAGACTAATAGTGGCACAAAAAATGTGCACATTCCACAGCAGTCTTAGGCAAGAAGTGGAACAATGCTATTAATTTACTCAACAGAATATTTTTCCTAGTTAGAAACTTAAAATATATAATTTAAGTATCTGAATACAGATTACATAAAAATTTGGACTTCCTGATAATAATGTTCCTTGCACACACATGTATGCAAATATAAACGGATGTTCCTGGTTTCATGCCACAGCTCTGCAAACTATAGTGTGTTTTTATTCCTGCTAATACTGCATAGCCCCTCGGATTTCAAAGAACAAGCTGAAGTCTCTCCTGTGTCTTACAGGACCAGCTAATGTGCCAACTGACCGAAGAATGATCACTAATGAAGTCAGTGCAAGAGGCACAGAGATTTCTGCTGACAAAACTACATCTGAGGACGTGCCTGGGGAAGACAGACTGAGCTTGATCTGAGAATTGCAGGAGCAGAACAAAAAGGTAGGGCAATGAGATAGTTTTTCCACCCAACATTAGAAAGCTTCAGTTTAAAAGGTACTTTCAGTTTGTTATTATCTGCTGTTGTAAGTGACAGGTAACAGTGTTGTAACAAACAGGTGTTTGTTATTCACATAAAAAGCAGATTTGTTTTCAAAATTAAGGAAACAAGGTTATGTTGTCTAATTTTCTTAAAATCTTTACAACAGAGGATCCAATAATAATCACATTGAAGTTAATAGAATTTCTGCATGAGGCTTAGATCTGTAACAACCAACACAGAAAACTGGATTCCATGACCATATCTAAGCTTTAACATTACAAAGACCCCCAATATGCTGGAAAGCTGTTGCTTCTTTTTATGAAGTGTCACTCCTTTGCTTCTAGTAACCAATTCCCTAAAGATAGTGAAAAGTTTATTTTCACCTGTACGAATCTCAACAGTGTATTTTTGCCAAATAAATTACTCTGTTAACAATTTCGAGCAGAAGATAAAGCATATTACAGGATTGTACCTTGCTCTGGTAAACTTTTATTTCTTCATATGTGTGGGTCTGCCACGCTAGCTGATGTAATTCCTCCATTGTATATTGACATGTCTCCAAATGAGATTTAATGATATTCTGTGCAATTCGATCTGTGAAAAAGAGAATGAAAAATAAATTGCATGAAACAGTGAACAGTGATCTGCAACAGCAAAATGTTGAAAACAATGAAGTTGTTGGAAAATGCACATTTAGGAAAATTAATCTTTTCTTTTCAATGCTACCTTTATCATTTGTTTTTAATTTGGAAGTTGATTATTGCAAAATGTTTCAATATTCAACCCAAAGCCAAATGTTGATAAACAGTGGATCTGCAGACGAAAATAACAATGATTTTTGTGAAACTATACAGAATCTTCATTCTGAAAGTGATTTAATATGTTTAAATAAATTTCATTTGGAGACCCTGTTTACCCAATCGCTTTTGTCTGCCCCAAACCTATGCAGTAACTGGTGGACTCTTCTAGCCTGCAGAAGAGAAGGAAGACTGTTGTTGATTACGAACCCAGCAGGGTACCTCTTCAGGTTTTAGGCCACAACCTCTGCATGAAGGCAGTATCTCCCCTCCTGCTGTGTGTAGGTGTTTGCTTTCATTCCTCATTGTCCATTTCTTTCTAGTTCTACTAAAAAGAACTAATCTGCTGAACTCACTGGTCAGCATGTTTCAGAGCTGCCAGGTCTCTCAAATTGACTGACTGCTTGCATTTGCCATCAACATTTGCATTACCTTGGTGTGACTCATAAAAGAGTAAACAGGTCTCTCTTTTCTCAAGTTAATTTTAAGCTGCATCATTTTCTGAATGAATTTGATGAGCAAGAACATGGAGACTGGTTTTAGCAAGGGGTAAAAGCTAAAACTAGTATCCTGGGGTTTAGAAGGAGAGATGGAGGACATAAATCTCACACACAGCACTAAGCTACCTTAAAGTTTTTCTGAAAATGCAGCCTTAGAAACTACTTCACAACATGGAATGTAGGATACAAGCAGAAAAGAAAGCATTCAATGTTGCCCTGGAAACCCACTCAAACTATGAGTAAACTTCTTAGACAAGTATTTTAAAGCAGACCTTTGCCCTTAAAGCCACTTGAGTGGATTAAAAAAAAATTTCACAAAAACTTCCAGCATGAATTCATTAGAAGTTGAAATGTTGTGATAAAACATGTTACTGAAAACTGATCATTTCCTATTTTGCAACTTTGGGACCTACACATCTAATGAAACTCATTGCTTCAGCCTGGAAACTTTGCTTAAGCCAAACAAAGGAACAATGTTGAAGCCACAGAAGTGAACTGAAGCACTTACAGCAGAACCAGCGTTGCACAGAAAACATTTGTCAAAAAAGGGAAAAGGACATTGAAAATGCATTAGCCAAACCTGAGCATGGGAAATAGAAAGAACTAGGTACACCACTGTTCACTTGTTCAGCTCCTCAACAATTTGCATAGAGTGTGGTTCCAAAATAAATCTGCTTCTTTGTCCAACTACTGACTGAACTTAGAAACACCAGCAAGAAGGGAAGCTGAAAAAAGAATGCAGAAGTGCATGCTCCCTGTAAACACTGCTAGAAGAGTGCTATTTGAAGGACAGATGCCTGTGCTACTCACAGTTAATAAACTGAGACTCAGCAGAAAGGTGCTGAAGATAAAAAAGTTGCAGGTTAACACAGGAAAAATAAAACATGCTTAATTGAATTTGTGCAGGTACCCTTTTATAGGTCAACATTATCTTTAGGCTTCCTAATGGAAGAACTGACTCCAGCCCATAGGTAACTAAGAATGCATATTAACAGAGTGATCTACTCACTGTTCTTTTATGGAAGGTTAGATGGAAGTCTTAACCTTTGATGGTAAGACGTTGCATTTTATAATAAAAATCTGGAAGATAAATAGGCATTTCTCTTACAATAAATGTCTCATATAATTTCATATTACTGCATGACAGATTTCTAATCAGATAAAATGACCTGATGTCAACAATCTGAAAACAAGACCTTTTGATTTGACTGAGTTCAAAATATATTCCATTAGCAGTTCTACACCACTGCAAAGATCCTCAGCTCCCCCTCCTTTTTCTCAGCATCTATGTATTTACCTGAGAAACGAAGAGCTGAGATGCTCTGCAGGGCTTTCTAGGGATGGCATCCTGTGTTTTACCCCGTGCACCTTTTCCTTACGCTTATGTTGAGCTGGCATTAAAACCCATTTAGATGTGCAAAGGCCCGGGGCAATTGCAGCAAGCAGCAGCTCTGAATGCTGACATCCAAAGAGGAATCAGGTGCAAGACAGACTTGAAAATCTTGTGCCGCAGGCTAGGCAAGGCTGAGTGTGTGACGGAAAGGGTACACTGGGTCTCTGAGGAGAAGGGAACTGCTCATTCAGCAGAGGAGGCTGCTTGCTTACATTTTGTGCTAAGTCCCTGGAAGGACCTTTATGCAAATATAGCCTACAGCTGGGTGGCAGAGCTGACATGATGTAAAAAGTAAAAGAAGTATACACCCGTCTTGGCTTCTCAGATGGTCCAGGAACAGAAGATCCAGCACAGGCAGAGCAAAGAATGTCACTCTTAAGGGTTTCCACAGACCATGGCGTTTGTTTTTAACCCTGACATTTTCAGATTTTAGCATCTTTTTGCTAAAGAAGTTGGAATTAGTGCACATCTTCGCAAATCCCAGGGAGAATGACATTCCTAAACCACTGGTAACAATATAAATGACATCTGATGTAAACCTGTCCTATCACAGGTACAGTCCTGTACCCAAAATACATTAATTTCTGGGAGACCTGGCAGCTCTGAAATAAGCTGACCACCAAGTTCAGCAAGTTAGTTCTTTAGCAGTACTAGAAAGAAATGGACAATGGGGAAAGCAAGAGAACATCTACACACAACAGGAAGAAAAATACTGCCCTGATGCAGAGGCCCAAAACCTGTGGAGGTACCGTGCAGGGGTGATAATCTAATAAATAGCTATGCTCTCCAGGCTAGAAGAGTCCATTACAATTACTTCACATATCAAGTCTTGACTTTCAGTAGATTTTGTTTTCAAAAATCTTGGGCCATAGATTTCAAGTGTCCCCTATCACTGGGTAACTTGCATGTACACAACTAGAAATCCTGTTTGGATGAACTCCAAGGACTACAAAAGACAACTCTGACCTTGTGACTTCAATGTGAACTGCATTTCTACTGAAATATTGTCAGCTCCCATTTTACGTAAGTTACAGCAGGTTTGCTGTATGAAAAGGAAAACAAAAAGATTATTCTGGCCACATGGGTGTGAGAATCAGTCTGCAACATTTTATTTTCTACGGACCAACTGCTCCAACTATTGAGTGAAAATTAACAACTCTAAAGGAGAGGATCCCCGAAACTGGATGACAGTACACCACCAGCCTGTAAATGGCAGGATTTGTGAAGCTTATCTATCTGCTACAGTATGTAAACACAAATGTAGACTAGATGCTTTACTCCTCCCCTTTTGCCTATATACTGGGTTTATTACATTAGGGCTAAATCTCCTGTATTGATCACTTAATACATGAAAATCACAGCATATCCTGGCAGATTTACTCTGTCTGGGAAACATGGTCCACAGAAAATAATGTTCCCAAGTATCCAAACTCTGGTATACACTGGGATGTGGAAGCATTTGCATTAGACATCTTGATCTATATTTGAGGTTTTCTTAGCACTGGTAACTTGAATTTTTTTCTTGAAAAGTGGACACTTTTTCTAAAAATACTCTGCTTCATTAAAAAAAAATCTAGAAAGAAGTACTTGCTTTCAGAGAGATAAAACTTACTAAATCAAGGAAACTGTCAATAATTGTAATCAACACTTTCAAAAACCAGAAGTGCTCAAACAAAACACATAATGGGGTGTCCACTTATATTTCATTACTGTCCTGCATGTCTCTGGTTTTCTATAATGGCCCACTATTCTAGCTGTAGAGCCTCATTTGCTCTTAGAGGAGAAGGAAATCCAGATGGTGTTTGTTGGCAGGGCTAGAGAGCAGAAACCTGAGAGGTCAGGCTGGTCCCCACTCCACACAGCACAGGGTGTGTTGCCCTTCCTGTAGCAGGGCCTGGTGAGGCCTTGAGAGGTGCCAGACCAATGGGTAGATAATTTAACTGGAATTTATAATACAGCAGTTAAAAACATAGAAAAGTTCTATGTATAGGAGGAGATGTCCAGAAGAAGCTGAAAATTGTACATCATGAAGCTGAAGAGGACCACGAGAGATCCATGCTGGAAAGAAATGTTTTTTACATTTGTCCTGGCCTACCTAAAACTGAAGACAGAATCAAGAGAATTGATTCTGTGAGATTGCCTAGCGAAGTAGGCTATGCAGTGAAGTTACTGCAACAAACCTGATGCCTAGAGATGCATCAAACATCACCTAACCCTTCCCCTGTGACCTTCCATCCCTAGTGTCTGGGTGGGTAACAGGCATCACGTATGTGCATGAGGGACCAGTATGCTCAGTTTCACTGCTCATCAGCCACTGCCTTCGGGGGGGGGAAACATGGGACTGGGTTCCTCTTTTCCCTAAAGTTGTCTCCTTTGCCTACTGAGTAGTCACTTCTCCAAAACTTGTAGGAACTCAAGTGTCTGAGACTACTGCTTCACTTCAGTGGAGCTGGAGAGTAGCTAAAGAATCACTGCACAGTCCTGACAGAAGGACTGGGGAGACAGAAAGACCATAAAAGTCCTATTTGACCAACAAAACAGGCCAAAAGCATATGCTGCAAGAGAACAACAGCACATAAACTTCGGACTTTCTGTTTCCAGACTTGTTTGCTCTGGCAGGCTTCGCCCCCTGCCCCCCCTCCCCTGCAATGCCCTCCTTTTTCTTTTTCTCCTACTGTACTTTCTTATTTTAGATTTCAGGAGTTACCTCACAAAAGGCACTCTCTAAAGACTAAAATTGCTCAAACACTTATTGCATCTCTAGAGTAGGAATTGCTTAAATACAAGTACATAGAGAAAACTGAACACTGCAAACTAGATAGCAATCAAAATCAGCATATCACAGACCCACAGGGGTTCTACCATCAGCTGATAAATCAGTACTTCCTTTTTCAGGCACTTTCT